CTCCTTTTCCCACACTTTTTAGTATGAATATCATCAAATAAGATAAGTATAGGAAGTCTAAAAATCACCAATGTTTTCTTTAGATTTTCAAATGAAAAATGAAGTTGTCAATGTTAAGCATACGAATCTATTAGTTTAGCAAATGGGGATAGGACCCAAATAGCAGTCTAAGCCAGATAGTATATGTGTCCTCCATAGAAAGGAGCCAGAATAGCAAGCAGATTCTCACATTTCAAGCACATCATCTAGGAGAGAATGCTAGGATTCACCAGGAAAGTGGCAGGAGCACAAGAGGGCTCAGGGCACGCTTGCCTAGCCAGGTGGTGGTTAACAGTCAGGAGAGGCTCCTGTACTCAGTGAAACAGTCAGTAAAAAGCTTCCAGGGCTCCACTCTCCAAGTTGAGCTTTTACAATCTGTGGATGGAGAACCCCTTACTAGGTCTCAGGCCTGATGTAGGGAGCTGCTTAGAGATTGCACAGAGGCATTGTTCCAGAGGGGAACCTACACAGAACCCCACAGGCATCCAAGCAGTGTTTTTACAGCTATCTCAACCTGCGGAACTTCAACCCCTGGGTGTCCATTGTATGGCATTGTTAGGTTGATTCATAGCTATTGGTGACAGTCTAGGGTCCATAAAGCAAATTACTTAGGTCAAAGCCGGGAGTGAGGTGCGACTGCAGCCTCATTTCAGTGCATGTCTATACTTCACAATTTAAAGGCGCTCACATTCCTCAGAATTCTTTGAGACTAGTGAGACATCAAATGGACCCAGGTTGAGTGTCAGTCTACACAGTAAAAGATCTATACTCTTCAAAAGTGTTGTGACAGATAGGGAAGACCAAAGAACTATTCTAGACCAAAGGAAATTGAAGAGACATAACTACTAAATGTAGTTCATTTCACAATTGGATCCTGGACTCACTAAGAAAAAAGAGACATTGTTGAGATAGTTGGCAAAACTTAAATTGGGTTTGTTTGTGAATTTAGATGGTAGTGTTTTAGCAATGTTGATTTTTCTGATTTAGAAGGTTGCTTAATGGTTATGGGAGAGAGTGGCCTTGACTTTGGAAGATACATACTGGAGTATTTAGAGGTAATGAGGCATAATATCTGCACCTGCCTCTCAGTGGTTCAGAAGAAGACTAATGAAATGAGGATGCACACAGTAATGGAGCAAATTCAGGTGACATTTGGAGAATGTGAGTGAAGAATATAGAGGAGTTCTCTGTACTTTTATTTTTTCTATATAGTTGGAATTATTTCAAAGTACATTTTTAAAAATTGTTAAACTCAAATATAAATTACTTTCCAATTACGAATGAAATGTTTGAAATACTATTCTTAATCAAATTAGTGTCACTAGGAAGGGACTCTGGCCCAATCATAAATAAGGGCCCATGACTTTGTATTTTGTGAGAATATTGTGGTGCAAATACACAAAGAGAAGTGTCTAATTTGGTTTCAGACTAATAGAACATAATAAATATGAAGCAGGTGGCAAGTATTATTTTCATTTTGGTAGTTCATTCATTTACCTTAAGACCTTCTTAGACTATATAATTTAAATTAACCACCTGCTCACAGATACTGTTGAGGACATTATTATATTTTGTTCTTTTTATAGAACTTAATATCTGAAATTAGTTCATTGACTCACTTTTCATTGCCAGTCCTCCATTGGAATGTGAGCTCCATGAGAGCAGGACCTGTTATTAGGGGCTACAATAATTCCTTGGCACCTCGTAGGCACTCCATAAACATTTTTTAAACGAATGAATGAACAAATCATTGTTATTGTATTGTAAATAATTGTAAAATATTTTCATCAAGCCAGTCATTGCATATAATCATTTTGTATTCTATATGTATAATGTTTCTAGAGATCAATCTGATATTTATGTACTATGTAACTGTTCTAAAAATAATTTATTTCAAGTTTTCAGTTGGCCTCTCCTTTTCTCCTTTTGTTTTGAATTGTGTTAGTCAAAGTGAAAGGGAGGAATTTGAAAATGAATTCAAACAACAGTATGAACGTGAAAAAGTATTATTAACTGAAGAAAATAAAAAGCTGACAAGTGAACTTGATAAGGTGAGTGATTCATCTTATTTATATGAATTGAGTATATGCTAGATCAATGGTTCTCAACCTGTGGGTCGTGACCCCTTTTTAACAATGAAAATACATTGCGGCTTTAGGAAGGTTGAGAACTACTGGGCTATATATTCAACATTATGATTGGAAATGTGGTTATAAACTTATATTTGATGTACATTTTTTGGTTTACTAGTCTTATAAACTATGATTGCCTATATGATATAGATACTTTTTTGCTATGCTATTCTGTGACAGTAATTTTCTGTAGAGAGAGTTTTGTGTATCTCATCTTATTCTTTGTCCCATTTATTTGTGAGGTTGCAGTGAGCTATGATGATGCCACTGTACTCTAGCCTGGGCAACAGAGCAAGACCCCATCTTAAAAAAAAAACAAACAACAGATGAAATAATAGCAGATGCTGGCATAGATGTGGCAAAAAAAAGGGATTCTTATACACTGCTGGTGAGAATGTAAATTAGTAGTGGAGAACAGAATGGAGATTTCTCCAAAAACTAAAACTAGAGCTACCATATGAAATTTCTAGAAAAAGCAAAACCATAGGCAAAGAAAGGCCAGTGGGGCATGAAGCTCAGAGTGGGTAGCAGTATTAATTGCAGACAGGCGTGAGAGAAATTTTGAGTATTGGTTATGTAAAAACTGGATTGTAGTAATCATCGTACAACTTTAAATTTGCTAAAACTCATTAAGTCGTACATTAACAATAGGTGAGTTTTGTTATGTAAGTTTTATCTCAATAAAACTGTAAAAATAATTAGCTAGTAAACCACGTTTTCAGAGATGAATGGCACACCTTAGGCACAATCTTAAATCTTTTGTTTGTAATAGACAAATCAGTGTGTGTGCTAACAGTGACAGCTTCCCTGGACCTCATTTCCTTCTGCGATCAGGAGGTTGGAGGTAGAGTTAAATGGGAAGTTAGATACATGCTTGACATAGTTTGTTCCTTTGGCAGAAAAGAAATGAAACATGTTGTTTGTGCCAGAATTGCCTATCTATGTTCAGAAGTACGGTTAAAAACACATATCCCAAAAAATGGCAAACTATAGTCTATGGCCAGATTTAGCCCATAGACTGTTTTTGTATGACCCACAAACTAAAAATGGTCTTTATATTTTTAAATGATTATTTCAATAAAGAAAAAAATGTGTGATAGATACCATGTGTGGTTCATAAAGGAAAATATTTACTATTCACTGTTTTCTTTACCGAAAAAGTTTGCAGAACCTTGACTTAGAACATGGTTTCAGGCTGCTTTAGTTAGGGTTCTCCAGAGAAACAAAGCCAATAAATAGAATGCATGTATATGCACATGTGCACGCACATGTAAGCACGTGGAGAGCAGGAGGGATAAGGAGAGATTGATTTATAATAAGGAATTGACTCAGGTGACTACGGAGGCTGACAAAGTCCCCAAAACATGTGGTTGGCAAGCTGGAGACCCAGGAAAACCAATGGTGTATTTCCAATACAAGTCTAAAGTGACTGAAAACCGGCAATCTGTGATGCAGTTCCAGTCTAGATGCTGGCAGCTCAAGACCCAGGAAGGCTGCTTTTTCAGTTCCAATTCTAAGGCAGGAAAAAACGATGTTACAGCTTAAAGGCAATTAAATAGGAGGAGTTCCCTTTTACTAGTGGTACAATCATCCTTTTGTTGTTCTGTTCAGACCTTCAGAAGACCTTACTGAATCTACCAGTTCAGATGTTAGTCTCACCCAAAGACACACTGAAAGACATACTCAGAATCCTGTTTCACCAAAAGTCTGGGCATCCTGTGTCCTAGTCAGGTTGACATATAAAATTAATCATCACAGAGTCCCCTCATCTCTAAAAGCCTTCTATGAGTAGCTCTTCTGGGAAAAATTCACCCCCTTCAAAGTCATCTTGAATCTATATTCCTTTTTTATCTTTTTTAAATCAATATAATTTAAGTATGCTCGTAAGTTTAACTAACTATAGGTTCAAGTATGCCAGTGATTTTCAACCAGTGTGCTGTGGCATACTCAATGTGCCATGAAAAGTTTTAAAGACCATTAAATTATTTTTGAAAGACATTCAAAGAGTAGTAAGTATGTTCATTTTTTTAACCTTTGTATTTGGACCAACATGATTTAAGTGTGCCACAAAAGTTTATAGGTTCAAGTGTGCCATGAGATTAAAAAAGTTGAAAAGCACTGCATTAAACTGTATTTACTTATTTTTATCATGATTCAATTACAAATTGTTTTTTGACATGTTGAAATAACTGGAAATTTAAACAATTACTACTTATGTGATGTCAGGAAATTTGTTTAAGTATAATAATGAGATTTTATTTTCTAAAAGTTTTATTTTTTTAAGATACACACAGAAATATATATGGAAAAAATTGTATGGTCTCTAGAATTTGTTTCAGAATAATACAGGAGAGGAGGATAAGAGAAGAGTACAATGAAGGAAGCTGAGTCATGAGCTCATTGGAGTTCACTTATATTGGCCATATGCTTGAAATTACAAGTTAAAGAAAAAAAAAGACATTTTTAGATAAAAAATGAGATGTTACCAGCAGCATTAGGCTTTTCTTCAGGCAAATAGAAAATGTTCAAGAATTACAAACAGTACTGGATATTAACAAATTCATTGACTAGAAAGATAATGTGATAATAAAAAAACAAGCATTTTGGGGTAGAAGATGACAAGTATCAGATTTAACAACAGGTATCTGAGCACCTTGAATTCCTGGTCCTAAAAGTCACAGCATTTTAAAACTTCCTTTCAGCTTACAGCTTTATATGAAAACTTAAGTGTACGCAACCAGCAGTTAGAAGAAGAGGTGAAAGATCTAGCAGACAAGAAAGAATCAGTCGCACATTGGGAAGCCCAGATCACAGAAATAATTCAGTGGTGAGTGCTCTTGTAAATGTTTTTTTGTGATATACATTTAAGTGTGTTTACGGACATACTCCCAACTTGATGTGAATTCCAGGAGGCCACTAACATGTATCTCATTTGTATGCTGTGAAAAGTAACTTCTTTTGAAAAGCAAATTTTTATTACTGATATGTTATGTGCATTCTGTGTTTTCTGTTGTGTTTCTGTTTCCTAACTCTAACAAATGTCCTATACCAGCTTTTATACAGCATCATTTATTAGTTTCTAAGAAAATGTTATCACCTATTAAGTCATAATTGGTCCTTAAAAGAGGAAACTCATTCAGTAGCTGTAGCTATTACTTTCTAAGATCAAAACTGCTATATTTGTGATTATTTTAAGAAAAAAAAAAGGCCTACAGATTTATAGAAAGGGTTAATGGAAAATGTGAAGATGAAAGTATTTATATGATGCCTCAAAATACTCACCTTGTATTTTTTACATTCAAGCAAAATGTGCAGAAGATATAAGAAAAAAAGGGAAGCCTTTTTGCTCAAAGGCTGTTATTACCCACATGTTTTATTTAGAAATGGAATTTATCAAATACCAAATTACTAAATACCTAATAGACAAAAAGTAAAATATATTCCCTGTTCTCAGAGTTCTCTCCAACTTGAAACTTAACTCTCTGAGATACAATGTCCAAGCTTGTAAAGCTATTTCCACTTTT